GGGCTGGGGGTGGGGCTGCTGCTGCTGCTGTTGCTGCTGTTGCTGCTGCTGCTGCTGCTGCTGTTGCTGCTGCTGGGGGTGCTGGGGCTGGGGGTGGGGCTGCTGCTGCTGCTGCTGTTGGAGCTGCAGGAGCTGCTGCTGCTGCTGCTGCAGATGCATGTACAACCCAGGGCGGGAAGCGAGTCGCCTGAGGCGGTACTGTGGCTGCTGCTGCTGCTGCTGCTGCTGCTGCTGCTGATGGTGTGATGGAGTGGTGGTGCAGCAGCTATCTGAGCAGTGATTGAGTGTGTGCTGCAGCGCTTCCTCAGCAGCAGCAGATGCATGCAGCAGCAGCAGCACCTCCCATGGCTGCGTACAAGCAAAGGAAAGAAGGCTGCGGGGAGAAGCAGAAGAAGAAGCAGCAAAAGCTGCTGCGTTGTTTGCTGCTGCTGCTGCTGCTATCCACGCAGCATCGTCCAGGCTGCTGCTCCGCAGCAGCGGCGTCAGCCGGCCCCCAACAAAGGGCATGCATGCAGACAGACACTGCAGCAACTCATATACTAATGCATCTGCTGCTGCTGCTGCTGCTGCTGCTGCTGCTGTTGTTGTTGTTGTTGCTGATGATGATGATGATGATGATGATGGTTGTTTCTTTACAGCGGCAGAAGAGGATCCTGCTGCTGCTGCTGCTGCTGTTGCTGCTGCTGGCGGCTCTGTTGCTGCAGCAGCAGCACCTGCTGTTGCTGTTGCTGCTGCTGCTGCTGCATCTGCTGCTGCAGGTGGTAGATCTGTTGCATCTGCTGCAGGCGGGAGAGCTGTAATTTCCCCTGCTGCTGCTGCTACTGCTGCTGCTGTTGCTGCTGCTGCTGCTGCTGCTGCTGCTGGGGGGGGGAGAGGCTCGTGCTGCGGTGAGGCGGGGGTGGGGCTGCATGCGGAGGAGACAGAAGGAGACAGCTCAGACAGCCAGGGGCTGTCCCCTACAGAGGGGTCAGGAGAACGCAAATCCTAATAAAAAAAAAAAAAAAAAAAAAAAAAAAAAAAAAAAAAAAAAAAAAAAAAA